AGCAATTTTACTAGAAGGATCACCAGAACCCCTGCCAGTTTTATTTTTTTGCCATCTGTGTTTTATTAGAGAGCTTTCCCTTCACTTCCTGTCCTGTCTTCAAAACAGGAAGTGAGAGGAAATCTCTCCAAAGTTAGGAAAATCCTCTTTTTCTTGTCACCGACACAAGTGTCCACACATTCTCTTATTTTCCTGTTCTGGTAAAAACTCAAAATGTTGGATTTCCCATCACATTCTAATGAAGGTGTCAATGGTCACTGGAAAAAATAGAGAGGGTGTAGACGGCAATGAAAAAACCTGAAAGGGGTTCTAACCCCTCACCATGTTAGGTTTTTATCCGGTGTTGTAACCCTTTTGCTGCTGCAGACATAAAATAACAGTGGTATGTCATGACGCAGCCTCTTTCCCCAACATTGTCACTGTGAGCTGAGCAAGAAGTTGGTCCTGCCATATCTGCAGCATCATGACCAGCCCTACCTCTCCTCTTTGCTGATTTGTAGAACCTGAAGTATAGAACACTGGCAAACATAACCAGAAGTAATGTTGCCCCCACCACCACCAAATTGAAAGGGAGCAGTCATGTGACTGCTGAAAAACCGAGGGGGGAGGCAGGGAGAGAGAGAACGGTAATTTTGAGTGTATTGACTAATTGATAGTACATTATACCATACTTGCCCAACACTACACTTATAACCCAACTCCAGCTTGGGTAGAAAATAAAAATGTCAGTCCCCTGCACTTTTAAAAGATTAAAAAACAGGGTTCCAGCTGCTACATCCACTCCATCTCTGGCGCACTGCTCCCTTTCCAGGTTAAATGACACCTAGTGGTGCACCTCGTAGCCCTGGTTCATACCTAGGAGTTTTTGAGCAGTTCGAAAAGCGCTTTTACCTGCCCAACACAAGAAATCCCATGATTTTTAATGTCCCTGGTTCACACCTGAGCAGAAAAATGCCAAACGCTTGAAAAGATACAGAAGCTTCTTTTGCCCCATAGACTTAATTGGAAATGCCCAAAAACGTGCAAAATATGCATGCTGCACATTTTCGTGAGCGTTTTGGCGCATCTATATGCGCTATGGGATTGTGTGGCAATCCCACCGTAGAACTAGGGGTTGTAGTCACCCAGGACTCTCAGCTAGAGGGGCTGAGTGGTTCCAGGAAACAAATGATTTTGCTGGGAAAGAACTGGCTTTGCAGTTCTCTCCGAGTTTTCTGGATTTGTATGGGATCCTGGAACTGGGAGATTTTGAAGGGACTTGGGAGGGATGAAATCTCCATTCCTGGGTCCATTGTTTAGTAGTGGCCAGCACCTAATTGCATACCTGTGCACAGCACTTATGGTAAGGGTGCTGGCTAATGTTCTGGGCCCCAGCTGGGAAGAGGAACATAGGTGTTCAGGAGTCAGGAGGACTCCACCCAGAGGGGAGCCAGGTGGCTGTGTGTGCTGGAGGCACACACAGGCCAAGCCAAGTTTGGTGTGTGCTGGAGGCACATGAGGAACAGCCTGGGAGGCTGGAAGGTTGAGAGAGCCACTGAACAGGACAATCTGAGAATGGTGAGACGATCTGTTTTACAAGCACACTGTATGTTGTACTGTTGAAGTAAAGCTCTTTTCTGTTATGGAGGAAAATAAAAGACTGTCCTTTTTCTGTTAAAATGGCTCAGAGACTGGTCCTTAAGTGCTCACCATTTGTGCGATCTTCCCCAAACCTCACAGCGCATTCTTCCATTGCCCACAATGGTTTATGAGCTGCCAATCAAATTGCGAATCTTGATGTACGCACGTTACAACGCGCATACAAATGTGCACAATGCGCAAATAACAGCATGCAGTTATCACGCATACAAACGCGCATTAAAACGGTGCCGTCTAGGTGTGAACCCAGCCTTAGGGAAAAAGGGCCAAACGGTGTGCAGGGTATGGTGAGCCCCACACGGCTTTTAAAAGGCAGCATATATTAGGCGTGAAATCTGCTAAGAACATAAGGGAAAGCAAGGGTCGGGTGTGCTGGTGTACAGATTGATACTGACCACCTACCATAGACAGATTCAGTGGTGTTAAAGGAGAACTATGGGGTTAAGGCTTTTCCCCATAGTTCTCCTTAGGGTAACGGGAGGACACAAACTAGCGTCCTCCCGTCACCCTAAGCTCAGTATACCGCGAGCTACAGCTCGCTGAGACGCCGCAGCTGAAGCGGATCCTGACAATTATGTCTGGATCCGCCCAGCTGCGTGAGTGACAGCTGGTTCTCCTCATCTAGAGGCAGAGCCAGCTGCACCCGCCCACTCCCCCGTCCGCTCTGCCAGTCAGCGCTGGAGGATCAGAGCGGGGAGGGGGGAATCCAGCCCCTCCCCTGTCACGGCAGAGAGCTGTGACAGGATCGAGAGGTGAGCGAACGCCGGTATGTGTTCGCTCACTTCCCGATCTACTGAGCCGACCTGTGACAGGTCGGCTACAACTATGAGGTGAGTGAAAAGCACTCACCTCATAGTTCTCCTTTAAGTCAAACATCATACAGACCTTCAGTGACACAGACAGCTGAGAATTATGTGCAATTCAACAAAGCTGGTTTCTCAGCTGAAGACAGTGATGACACCATGGTGTGAAAATAGTTTGGGAGCTGTGTAAAAAAATTATGACCTGACGTAATTGATAGCTGCAAGCCACACAGAAGAAATGAGAAACTAGAAAAATGTAAAAAATTAAAAAAAGATGAAAGGAGAAGAGAGGCAATAGGATTAAGGAGCAGGCTTTGGCTCAGAGTTGCCATAGTTCTGAGAAATCACTGATTGAGGTTGCTTTGGAAATGGTGTTCAATGCACGGGGACCAATCATTCTTATAAATCAGTACTGCCGCTTTAACAATTGCCGATCATTTTAACTTTGGCATAAACCACAGAATTTTATATGGCTTGTTCAAGAGTCGGAATGTAAGATTCCAGGACCCTGCTATTGTTTGCTTGGGGAGTGTTCATTTAAAACTGGTATTTAAAGCAATGCTTTACTTTGCCAACGTTTAAAGAAACTGCTGCCAAGTATAAACTTTCCAGCTTATAATCATCTCATTGGTACATAAACAGTGAACAAAAACTCTTCTCCCGTCTGTCCCCAGTAACTCTGTGTTATTTCTTCATTGGGCATTGCCATCTTGCCTCTCACACCAGGGAGGAGGTGAAGCCAGATTGCCGACTGATCACATGTCAAAGACATCTTAATCCATTATGTGACAAACTGCTATATGCATACATCAGCAGCCAGTGGGGAGAGGTTAGAGATGGAGGTAAGGATTTATGACAAAAAGTCAAAATTTGCAGATCAGAACCAGTATTTTTTAGTCCCTTTAGGAAGAGGAAGGACCTGTGACATCACAGGACCAGCTATAAGAGTGCAGGGAAAGAGTAAGAATATGGTGTTGTGGTTAAAAAAATAAAAATATCTGGGGATGGGGGGTTAGAAAGGGGAGGTGGTGGTCTGTGAGCAGGGATATGTAGTTTGGGTTCGTTTGTAAAGGGCTACGTGACATTGTCCCTTAAAGTGACACATTGTTTCTACTTATAGTAAGCTGCACATAGCGATTTCACAAATGGCGCTTTTGTTTATATTTTTAAATTACAATATTACTGTTTATTTCCTCATTTAAAAAGACTTCTGCGTGTTCCCATGGGTTGCCAGTTCTCCCTACACTTCCGACTTGGATCTTACAGCAGGGCACGCTTATCCTGTCAGCGCGCCCCGCTGTCTCTGACTACATTTCACCTAATGCATCGTGCAGAGTGGTCCCAGTGCGCATGCGCAAATATAACACACTTGATTCTCAACTGGTGGGTCCTGACCCAAAAGTGGGTCGCAACCCCATGTTCAGTGAGTCGCCACATGCCTTTCACTTTTCTAGGTGCCTTACCGCAGCAGTGTCAGTTCTCCTGCCAAGCAGCCATTCAAGATATGCTGCCTGGCACCGAGTGTCAGCTTGACGTGGGAGGAGATGGGGCTATGGTACCGAGGGAGCTCCATCCATTGCTTACAGCTCCCTCACATGTCCTATAGAGGTGCTTGGACCGGAGTGACGTCACATTCTGGCTCCCGCCACTTCTACGGGACGTGCAAGGGAGCTGTACAAGCAATGCACATATGGATGGAGCCCCTTCACAGCACAGCAGCCCACACTGGATCCACTCCAGTTCTTGTAAGGTAGGGAGACTGGGTGGATCTTAAAAAAATTTAAACATTTTTGGTGTGTGTATTAGAATGTATGAGTGTGTGAGGCTGTGTATGTATGGCAGTGTTTTTGAGGGCCATTAACACTAGTTAATCACATAGTACCATGCAATCGCACCAACCTTGCATTCTGGTGCGCGAGGTGTGTTGCGTTGCCATTCATTTGAATGGTACCCCAAATGCACCTCCCACCCACAGCTCGTATGCCCGCACAGGAACGCACGTTACCCTAATTCCATGCATTCCAAGGACAAATGTGGGTCCTGAGGTTACACAGGTTGAGAACCACTGCTCTAACATGTCGGTTCCTCCATCTTCTCTCCTTACCATACCTGTACGTGAGTGAACTAATATGATTTGTACCAGCTATGAAAACATTAGAAAACCTTATCTAGCAAAAGAATCTAAATGGGAGGGTTTTGAGGGAGAATACGAAGTAGAGAGGAGGAATCAGTAGAGGAGACGTGAGGGCGCTTCATGCATCCTCATGTCTTATTGTAGTCCTCTGCGGCAGCGAGCACAGAGGGTGGCTACTTTTCAGCGTCCATAGGGACCATGGAGAAGAAAAGTAGACACCCTCTGGCAGGAAGCTGCAAGACAGGAGAAATAAACAATTTTTTTAAATAGATAAAGGTGAAGAATTAAGAATTGAGCTAGTTCAGTATTCATTGCTTATATATCAGAACTTAATTGTATTATTTAATGTGTGAGCATAGTGTTGTTTTAAAGCAGCTTTGCTTGAAATAACTCCAGGTTTAGCCAAACACATTTAATGTCCATACCTCTTCCGCAGTGTCGATTCACAAACTTTCACCACTCGTATGACTTCTTTAATGGTGCGTCGGAAATCATGCATCCTGGATGCAACCAGAAGAGCTGTAAAGAGAGATGGAAAAGCCACAGTCAGTGACACAGGTGTGTAGATTATCCATGCCCGACAATTCCAGGAATGCGACTGCAGTATCATTCAAGGACTCCTAACAGCTGTTTGGTATTATAGACAGTATAGAGTGCATGCACCATCTCAACCCAGGTTTACAAACTCCGCTTTTACTTTGTGAGCTGTGGTAATTGCTGTAAACCTTTCATTTGCTTCAATGGAGTGAAGCCTACAGCAATGAAAAACCGGGTCTTAGCAGCTCGGGGCCCTATATCACTCTTGTCCCTTGATATGGTACAAGTTTATAGAGGGCGATGAAAGACATATAAAGATGTCTAAAAAATTGTGCTGTAAAGGTAATGCTCGCTTTTTATTAAGCTCTGCAATATATACTGGGTTTCAAAACACAACAAATCACACCTACACATCGGGAACTTGCATCTGAAGAACGTAGATTTACCTCTACAAGGTCACAGAAACATTCTTCATCCACTACCCATTGTGTCTCTCTTAGAGGTGAAATACAAAGGGATATTGCTTCATTTTAGTCTTTTATTGTGTATTTAAAGTAAACCTTTTGCAAACCCATGCAATCCAAATTGACCATATGAACAAAAAGCAGTGAAAACTATATCAAAATCATCACATAAAAAATATCAGATCCAGAGATACACAAGGTGGAAGTTTCATTCTGCCAGAACAAAATGTTTTCATTGCTGCTTGCGTCGCTGTCGGGGAGATCAATGACCTCTTCCTGCCCAAGTGATGGGGAGGACTCCAGGATAACCATTTCTTTAAAGCCAAAATCCAGTTGTACCATCAGTCTTGCACAGTTGTACAGGCTCCTCTCTACTGAAATCGCTTCCTCTGATCTCACTGCTCATTGTAAGCTTCTCAGTGTGCATAAGAAGCTGCAGCAAGTCAGAGCCCACCTTATTTCCTGGCTGGAAGACGTCATCTAGCTCTTCCCTCACCAGCCTGACTGTCCCTGACACGCCCCATTATTTGCTTTCAGTACTTTCAATCATAGATGCTCAGCATAACATGTGGGTGTTACCTATGGTGGTCAGCATGCAAATGCCTAGGAACACTCACCCCTCCAGATTGACATCCACCCATCATGGCATTTTGATATTTTAATAACTTCTTCTAAGATCCAGCCCATTGCATGTATCAGGGCTGGAAGTTCTTAAGAGGAGCACTGAGGGAGGGTGCTGCAATGTTTTCAGCGTATCGTGCCACTCCGGCCTCCTACACAAGTCATGATCTGCTTGTACTGCATAGAGAAACACAGAGACCCAATGACCATTGGATCGAAAATATATAATGAAAACGGAAAGGATTTATTTTCCCCCGCTTGGGCCATACTGTCTCAGTGACATCCCGTCCCCTTATTTCTGGCCCTGGTGTCACAATGACAAAAGTGAGGGGAGAGAGAATATTTTTTTCCAACTTAGAGAAAGGCTTTTAAAATGAGTACTAATTTAAAATAAACTATAAGACTGAAGCAACAAAAATATGATAAAAAAAAAAAAAAATAACTAATTTGTACTAGGAAATCTCACATGTACATTTCCAAGTCATAGTGCCTCCATTATACAGTCTAGTTATTCCTCTCATAGCTTCTGTAACTATGCAGTAGGTGGCTGTAGTTAAACATTATTCTTACAAGCAAAATTGTTTTGCGAACAGTAAATGCTTTTCTGTGTGTGTACAAAGCCCTGTTTTATAGCAGTATATTTGGAAGCTTAAGGTCCATTAGGATCCGTTCAAGCCCTTGTGAAAACACAGACTGTGTAGAATAAATGGGCTACAGTCAGGAGCAAAGGACTCTGGGAGAATTGCTATTCCAGTCTACAATACAGAGCAGATGGAGGCCATGTATCATAAATAATGTGCAATCTATAATCATCTCAACACCTAATGTTTTTCGCTCTTCTCCATTAGACTACGGAGAAAAAACACATTCGCAGAAAGCATGCAGGATCCAATGATGCATTGCATATTAGCGCGGCAGTTAAACTGCCGGAAAAATGACGATTCATTTGCAAGCGTGCTTTATGACAATTATATTTCTCAGCGAAATTATCTCATCAGATGATCTCGGCCTCTGCACGGCTATAATGGACACTGAATAGGTCATTTCAGAAAGGTCATTTCCTCCCTCTCAGAAGACAAACTTTAATAAGCTTGCTGTGTCAGAAAGTGAAATTATCTGGAGACAAAATGATGAGAACTGAGACAAATGGTGAGGGCAGGAAGGCACTTGACGTTTTGAATTTTCCAGGGAATTCCCTGGATTCCAAGGAATTCAGCATATCCATGTGGATTTTCCAGCTACAGAAAAGAAAAATTGATGAGGCGCAGCCACTGTACAGATCTACTGCAGAAGAAGCACAGTCTGAGCAATGGAACAGCCACTATACAGTTCTAAGGAAGACCGCTACCCTGAGCAGTGAAAGATTTACTGTTAAGGAGGAAGAACAGCCTGCAAATGTAATGGAAAAAATTAAAGCATCCCTATGTTAGCTCAGGATACAGGAGAATTCCTGCTGCACTTCTTACTGGTATATCCCTTGCGGTGGGTTCTGTAGTGACTGCGGATGGCGCCGCTTCAGATTCAAGTAGTAAAATATAATCACCAGCACACCATGGTTCAATCTTCAGAAAGTGATAATTTTATTGATGCACACACATCTTGTTAGCGCAGTCTTGGTTTTGCACTATATCTTTTATCTTCATTAACTATATTTTTTATCTTCATTATATCTTTTGGTTTGAATCTACATACATATATTTTTATTTCCTTGATTTTTGGGTGGGAACAAATAGGAAAAAAAATGCATTTCCTGTAATTTTTACCAAAGCAATGTTTATGTAATTTGCGGCCTTTCATGTATTTACCCTGATATATAATCAACATAGTCTACCTGATGTGATTGAAATATCACATCAGTGCGACTTTTATGTAACATATTGGAATGGTAAGGCCTCCTTCACACTGGAATCGGCCGGCATGTACAGCTCCGTGCAAGGCCGTATCGGGCAGCTCCCGGGAAGGACAGGTGCTGCACGTGATTAGTACGCAGCCCCTGTCCTTCCCTATGGGACTACGCGGCCGTATGCCCCCCTACGCTCACCTCAAGTGCAGGTCCATTGGGGTGTGTGTTTCCTGGCACACACGCAGACAGAATCCATCCTGTCAGCGTACGAGTATGCTCACCAGCACGGATGTGCAGGGCGGGTGAGCGTAGGGGGGGCGTACGGCCTCGCAGTCCCATAGAGAAGGACGGGGGCTGCGTACTAATCACACGCAGCACCTGTCCTTCCCGGGAGCTGCTCGATGCGGCCGTGCACACAGCACGGAGCTGTACGTGCCGGCCGATTCCAGTGTGAATAAGGCCCTGAAGCTCAAAGTTTTACTTTATTCCCCTTCTGACGCGACATTGTGGCAAATTGTTTGTGTAACAATTTTATTAACCCTTGCATTGGGGCTACCCATGCACTGCAGGGGTTAAGTGCTCATTTTTGTCTAGGTGCTAAAAAAAAGAAAAAGTTATACTCACCTGACCATTCGAGCTGGCTCCCTGCTTCTGTGATCAAATGAAGCGTGTCTCCACCTCTGCTGCACAGATGGACTGCTCCTGGCATCCTCATGTCTCTGCACAGTGTATAGAGCGTGATGACACCGGAATCCTTAGACCACTGCAGCAGAGGGGAGAGACATTCTAGACATTGGTCTAAGAACAAGCTGGCTAGGATGGTCCGAGACTGCTAAGCAGCCCATTCTTAACTGTATTCTAAAGTCTTTTCCTTGCTCAGTTTTCTCCAATGATATTCTGTATTTAACATAACTAACTGTGTTACAATTTTGTCAAGACTCCAGAACTCTGCAGAGTTTTAGTAATTCTACATACGTATGTCGTCCCAACAAAATCACCCTCATCATATCCTAATTAATATACTGGAAAGAACTGGGCTCTATATTGATCCTATACTTACACAATCTATCTGATGGGACCCCATGCTGATTCTCTGTGACTCACTACGATTTAATTATTGTCTATTAATTAATTATTCTCTATGAATTATGAAATAACACCAGCAACTGAAGGGTGACCTCTTTTAATAAGCTCAGTGGTGAGACAGAATGGTGAAGTAAAAAGTAGATATGCCACCCTTGATGTCTCCAGGAGAACCCAGCAGGCTATTTAACCAAGTATCCATTCAATATTAGAAAGTGAACATTCCCTTTTAAAGCGCATCTAAGCTCAAAAACCATAAAAATACTATATTGCAGCTTACCAGTCCTTGAATTGGGGTCAGGTGCAGTGAATTTGTCCTCCTGAGCTCCTGGCAAAAACTGAAAACTAGAAAGCACCCTAGAAAATAACAGATGACCCTTTCTTTGGCTTTGTAAAAGACCAATACACTCCATTGTGTCTCCAGGTATGAGCAATTTGGGTTCTCATCTTCAGAATATTCCTTCTGATTTGGATAGGCATATGGAAGCTGCCATTTGTAACTTGGTTTTTGAAAACTGCAGATGCTGGGAATATAATCATGACCCTGTTTTTAACATCTAATGGGTCAATGTTTAGGAAAAAGCATGCAGGACAAGTGATGGCTACAAGCTTGTTCCAGTTCAATGACTCACCAGGTAATGAAGACAGGATCAGGATGATATCTCTGTAACACACTATAAAAGCTCATGTCCAAGAACCCCCTTCTCACTAATCAATAGGTTAAAAAAAAACCACTAAAAGTCCCTTTACATAGCTTAATTTGGGGTTCCATGACATGCCAAGTCTCAGGGCCGGTGCACACCTGGGCAATCTGTGACCGCATGGCAATCGTGTACGATACAAATTGGATTGACGCACGGTCATGGAGCAGCTCATCACCGACGATCGCGCTGTGGGTGCCATTATTTTCTGCGATTGCCACGCAGATGCACCCCATTGAAATCAATGGGGCCACGCGGCAATCGCTGTCTGCAATTGTGCCAGGCTGCGCGATGCCGGGACGCGCGTCCCGGATTGCATAGGTCTGCACTGGGCCTCAAGTCTTGGATCTTCTGGAATGTGGAGTGGAAAGGTCTTTCTTCAGGTACCCACATCACTGCCTGAATGACGCGGACACTTCCCATTGGTTGTCCAGCAGTTGGGCCCTCTCAGGTTCCAGAAGACTGCAGCAGCATGATAACATCACAACGAGGGGCGGCAACAAGGTTGCCTTTAACACAGCACCTACCCTGTAAACCCAGTCAGTCTTAGAGCTTATTCATACCCATCAAAACACATGCAAAAACACATGTGCATTGTTTTGCATTGCATGTGCGTGTGTTTCAAGGCACTGTGCTGCGTTTTACTGTGTAAACATGCATTTGTTTGTTTTCTTTATAGGCGACATCAAGGCTGGAAATACTAACATCTTTTTTACATAAATAGTTACATAGTAGGTAAGGTTGAATAAAGGTCCATCCAGTTTAACGTGTGTGTGTGTGTGTGTGCACGTAAGCACAATAGCAATTCCTATAACTCTGTATATTCTATAATGAGGAACTCATCTGAGTGTTTTTTTGGACGCCGTCAATGTTTTCTGCTGATAAAGCTAACTGTGGAAGTAAATTCCCCATTTTTACTGCTCTGACAGTAAAAAAAAAAAAAAAACCTTGCACAGTCTGAGATTATACCACATCTCGTCCAATTTCTTCTTCTGCCTTCGTGTCTTCCTCTAAGTTCTTGATATAAATAGTTTATTTCCTATACTGCATTCCCCAGTTGATGAGATTGTAAATTGCAAACATGTCTCCTCCTAAGCGTCTCTTCTCTAAGGAGAACAAGTTTAGTTTTTGTAGTCTATATTCTTAACTCATTTAGTTGCCCTTCTTTTTGTTTTGATAGGTGCGTTGCGTTGACACAATTTGGTGCGTTGCGCTGTATAAGAACGCAGCATGCCTAAATCTTTCCTCAACGTACTAGTGTTGTGTGAACAAGGCACATAAAGAGCAACTGGCTTTAGAGTGTCCTTGCGTTGCATACGATTTCAACAAATAAAGGCAAATGTGAGCAGGATTGTGTAACTTGGTGCCCAGCCAGAGACCATCACACTGCCCTAGCTATATAATAAAACAAGCAAACTAAATGATATCACGTTGGATAGATCATCATTCATACAGACAATGGGTGAATAATGTCCAAAGAAAAACAAAAACATTCTTGTTCATTGATTCAATTATCATTGATCTATAACCAACAGTTACTATAAATCTTCCATACCGGCACCACAGAGCCCAGACGGTCGCCGACCAGTGTGCATCCAATCCCTCTTCATTCTCTGGACCAGTCTCAGTGCAGTCATGGAAACTTCATGATTCTTATCACCAAACTCCAGCATGTGTGCAAAACGTGGAATGTACAGGCAGGGATCTGTAAGAGATGCCAACGGGTGAGGAATCCATTAACAACAATGATTTGATCAAAGGCAGAACAAATAAAAAATACATTGGAGGGAATTTATCAAAACTGGAGCAGACAAAATCTGGAGCATATGTGCATGGCAACCAATCAGCTTATCTCTTCAGTTTGTTCAGTTAAGATTTGAAATTGAAAGAGAGAAGCTGATTGGCTGCCATGCACAGCTGCTCCCGTTATGATAAATTCCCCCCATTGTGTTTTTTGATTTGTTACAATTATCCTATTTTAAATCTTACTACTTAAAAATCTGGCAGCTGATAAATATCAGATGAGGTGGTCCATCAAGCTGTTGCAGAATGACTATTTCTAGACATTGGGATTCAAAGCCAAAGGACCAGATCTTTTCCATTTAAGTTGTGTATACACAGCTACAATTTCATATGAAAACGGTAATTTTTTAGAACATTCACCCGATTTTCTAATAGTTAATGAGGTCAAATTGACTATCGTTTTTGACCTCAGTGATGAAAAAGGTCGAAGGAGCGGGATAGAAAATAGTTTTTGAACAAACGAAATTCTAACAATGATTGTGGTTTTCATTTAGGCCTGGTTTACACCTAGGCAACAGCGTTTTTGCACACTTTTATGTACATTACTGTGTGTTTTTATGCGCATATGGCAAAAAGCAAGTTTTTGTGAGCAAATTGTAGCTCATTGATGTTAATGAGAGATAACGCATAAAACAAACAAAAACACAGCAAACGTGCGTTTTCAAGCGTTTCTTATTGGGTCTGTGGGGACAGAACGAGCTGTAGTATGCCCCCCCAAAAAGCTCCTACTTTTTCCATCGACAGGCGGTTTGCCTAAAGTGTCATTATATAAGCCAATGTACTATTTTATTTATTTGTATTTATTACAGGTATTTATATAGCGCTGACAATTTACGCAGCACTTTACATAGTTGCACATTCACATCAGTCCCTGCCCTCAAGGAGCTTACAATCTAAGGTCCCTACTATACGTCAATGTCCAGATTTCATAAAACTTATCTGTACACTTTTTGCAAACTAGTGGACTTAAAGGAACATTAAAGTCAAACTTTTTCCCCCCTTCCCAAACCTGCTGTAAGGACTTACCTTAAATGATGCCTCTTAATCCAATCATCTTCTTCCTTACTGTCCTTTTCATCTGTCCCTCCAGCGATGGTGCGGGTCTCCGATCCAGCGCTGACTCCTCTGCCCTCTCCTTCTCTCATGTCTTAAGGAGTCTGTGCGGGTGCACGATGCTCCATAGACTTACCTTGTGTCTCTCCTCGTCTCCTGGCCGAACATCTGAACTGCGCATGCGCCCGCCCCAATAAATTTTCAGATGTTCGGACAGAAGCGCGGCGGAGACACAGGTAAGTATTAACCCCTTTGAAAACGTTTTTTTAAATTTTTTTATCATTTTGCATATATCTACTGCTTGCTAGCAGTAGATATATGCAAAAACATGCGAGGGTTTAATAACCCTTTAATAGTAATAGCAAAAATGTATGAATATAGCTCTCGGCTTACAATAGATGGCTCTGTTATGCCTTTTCCCCCTACACAAGGTCAGCAGAAGAGAGATGTAAGGAGATGAAGAGGAAGAAATGAGAACAATGAATACACATAGACGGGGAAAGAGATGGTCAAGGACAAAGTATAGGTCAAACGTGGAAGGTAAGATAACAGAGATGGATGACAAACCATTTTCCCACAGACATGCATGTGCAGATACTGAGACCTTCTTGTCAATACTCTGATGTCGGATATGGCGAACCTGTAATAGTTTCAAATTGTAATACAAAATGGTAGAATTTGTTTCAGAAAACCGGAATTAGCTGTTTAGTTACCAATGCTCAGAGTGCTTGTGATCATTGGTGTTGGAAGAAGCAGGCCCTCAAAAATGCCTTAATTCACTTGATGTATTTGTCCCATCTTCAATACGGCCCTGCAGTCAGTGAACCGCAGCATAAGATTAGATCTTCTTGATCTAGGCAGAACTGTGCATCAGTGAAAAAAACCTTCAGATTGCTCACTCAAAAGGTCAAGTATGCAAAAGGTGTCCCAAGGTTTATTTACTGCAACGGTCTTATCTCACGCACTGGTTTTAGATTAGGGCCCTAACATTTTCTTATTGTATGACAATCACTCTTATAAAGCAAACTGCAAGAAGGAATGATTGCCTAAGCATACAGCAGCATACAGTACCCTCAGGTTTCAGCTTACAGAATTCAGAGCAATATTCCTTCTATACAATACTTAAAGCTGAACTCTGGGCACAAAAACTTTCATTTATATATATTCTTTAATAGCCACATAGGACATAGATAAACTTTGTGTGCTCCAAATGCTGTTGAAAACCCAGTTATTATTATATAAAATACAAAAGTAGCAGTTACATCATCACTGTGCTCCACAAAGCCAGCGCAGAGCTGTGGGAGAGACCCAGCAGGCTCAACCCACTACAGGCTGCAGTGACTGGTCTTTAGTACAGGAACCTCCTGCACAGAGGCAAGTCCATACCAGTGACAGAAACTATTGCCATAGTGACCCAGGCGGCCGCTATGGGTCCCGGCCAGGACGTGAAACAAAGGAGCCCCCCTGATGGTGTGCGGGTCGCCTGGGTCGCTATGGCATCTCGGGCTGCTGGCTCTCACTGGCGGCTGTGTGGAGGAACGTGCTGCTGTTCAGTTCACAGACAACCTGTCAGTGACCTGTGCAGTGACGCATTCCTCCTCACAGCCGCTGCTGAGTCAGTGACAGCCAGCAGCGGAGGAGGAGGCTGGGCCCGGCGTCAGCAATGGAGAAGGAGACGGGGCCCAGCGGAGGAAGAGGTGGGGACCGGGCATCGGAAGAGGCAGGGCTTGCCAGCGGCCATGGAGTAGGAGGCGGGGCCCAGCAGTGGAGGAGCCTGACAGGTAATAGGAGGTGTGCAGGGGTGTGACCAGCCCACATGAGACCATGCAGAGCCCACCAAAGAAGGTCTATGGTGGGCTCTGCAGGGTCACTCTCAGGTGGTCTGTTTGGGATATCAGGTGGGCTCTGCAAGGAGCGTAACTAGAAATCATAGGGCCCCATACAAAATGTAGCTATAAAGCACAGACCTGGAAGAAAAACACGCAAACAGATGCATCCTTACCTCAATACAATTTGCTTTTATCCAGCATCACAAGTCTTCAATGTCTTGGACGCATCTGCACATTAGAGCCCTATAGACTTCTATGGGTAAGTGTCCAGAGACAAACGGAGTTGGTTAAACCCAGTAAATACTTTAGGCCGAACTCCTAACATATGGGTAAAGCCTACGTCAGCATTTTATTTTTCTTGCAGGGAGATTTCCACTTACTCCCAATAAGGACAGCCCTTTTTAATGTTCCTCAAAAAAAAATTTACACATTCATTCTCCAAAATGTACAAATGCTTCTTTAAATCTGTGACAAATCTGCCCCAACCATACGTCATCATAAGAGCCCAATTTTATCCCAAAATATTGTTTAAAATTGTAAAATCAGTAGCCCTCTTTGTTCAAGGTCTAAAGGTGGCCATACACTTTACAACCCTCGCAAGACTTTTGTCTTGCGAGGGTTGTAAAGCATTTTAAAAAACGTACGATTTGCCCATCTTGGCAGACAGGCAGATCGTACGTGCGATCATCGCAAGCCGGCCCCCATGAGGGATGGGCTTACGATGACTGCAATGAGGGGCGGGCTTACGATGACTGCAAACGGGCTGTGTGTGTGCGTGCGCACACCAGCCCGTTCGGCAGTTGTCGAACCAGCAGGCCACTAACTCGCCAAGAATTGTATGATTCCCGGCGGGTTTTCTAGCCTGGTGGTTCGACGGAAGACGCGCGACCGTACAGTAGAAACGGTCGCATGCCTTCCATACACTGCACGATTCTCGTACGATAGCGGGATTTGCCGCGATTCTCGTACAAGAATCGTGCAGTGTATGGGCACCTTAAGAGGGACCATGGTTATTTTCTTCAAATGCTCTGGCGATGCACCAAATTGAGTAGGTACGGGGAAGACAATATAACTACCATGAATAGGGTCTTCCAGATGACTATCCTCAAATATATAACTACTTGTAGCCTTGGTGTGCTGGATATCATATCCACGGACATCAATATTACAACAGCAAATTTGAGAGTTCTTTTTCAGGTTGAAATCTTATTCTTATCCATTGGTCTGTACATGCCCCATCATTATCTGTACAGATTAACCATATAAATCATACTAAAATGTGAAAGGTTAATATACTCTCACCAAGGCACTATGTATAAATTTTAAAACTGTGGACTCCAATATTGAATCTACCCAACGTTACAGTTGCTAACCAATGATGTGTGAGGGGGGATGCTTGGTGCGTAGGGTCAGTTTTGAATGGGCCCAACTGGGTTTGCATTAAGCCCCAGCAATCCACTATTGCTAACCATGTTTAATTATTCCCAGTACCTTAAACATGCTGGTAACCTGCTACGCGCGGAAACCTGTTCGTAACGGAATTGCTACGCGCAGACATTAACATGTTATGCGCGTTCCAGCATTTCAAATCAAAATCGCTGTGAGCACTGAGTCGATTGCGGACAGGTCTTCAGCTCTCCCTTGTTCCTGCGCTATCAGTTCCTGTGACTCTGCTAACATGTGAACGAGCCTGGCTGATGACTTCCGATTTGGTACTTCACCTGAACTTCCAATTTGGGCCTGCTTCTGGACATCGATTTGGCTCCACATCTGTGTATCAGATCCTTCTGTGTATGAACTTGACATTGATTACATGCTCGGTTCTGCCCTGACTCTGCATTGCATGACACCTTGTGTCCAACAGCATTAGTTTCAGCTCCCAACTATATCAGTTTCCTGTCGCTGCACTACCCTGGTCAACACACCAGTGCAGGGTCCCGCTAGACCGTCTCTTTGGCATTCATGCTTCCCCGAGTCCCCATCTCACCTGTTACCATCTCCAGGGGAATTGAACTAGTGG